TTACCGGTAGTAACAGAGTACGGCATATCATATGAACTACTGTCATAGGAACACATCACTAACAGCCGTAGAAGAACGTCTTCAACTCCAGTCCTGTGCCTTCGTCCACTTCTGCATAAGGTAAAACCTCAACGTAACTATGCCTTATGTTATAGCTATCAGGCTTAAATGCCGTGTCTACCACTTTAAGTTGAATCTTAACTGCGTTAACAGGCCTTGCAGTTAAGGTTACATTCGTGGCCCCTCCCGGCACATACATGTACTATCCAAACTTTATCTCTCCATTCTCGGAGTTATTTACACGTACTGATTCAAGGTGCATTAGCAATATTGGGATATATGATACCGCTAGCACAAATTGAAGAAAGGGCAATTACACTGCATGTCTAACTACCACTTCGTAGCTTGAGCTAGAACTCTACGGAAAGACTGTGCATAGGTCTAGAAGGGATGTGAATAGTGAGATTATTTATTGACAGAACAGAAAAGTACAGAGACTTTTGTATGGTCTTCTACAACTTAACTAAAGATCTAACAAAGCTAAATACATGTGTGGATAACGTTATCTTACGTACAGAGTATATGTATGATGTAACAATAACAATAGTAAAAGCACAAGTGAACCTGATTGTTCACGAAACCTTGACAAAACTCACAAGTCTTTTGAGATATAACCCCATTTGAAAGCCTACAGAAGTTTTTAAGAATTCCTCAGAAAGGACAACATGTATATTATCTACTCTCCAAGCAAATGTTGGTGGGAATACTGTGACCTTTCTACCACATGCCCCATTTCTCAGGGACAGAAAAGGGACATATGATAGAAAGGCTGCAATCTTCCCCACTAGCCTCTGGTTGTGTGATTGTTGTACGCAGTCTTATCTTTCCTGATTTTACAAAGGGCAGACGGTGTGCATTTCTAGTGCATACGTGTACCTGATACCCGTACTGTTTTATCTATTAGCAGAGCCCGTAATGGCCAGGGCCCGGAAGTATGCTGCCATTGCCGTGCTGGTGATTTTTCTTACGGTATGTTCGTCTTTTACTGTTAGTGGGCATGGGTATGGTTACTATACACATTTGTACCTCGGGGGATTGTGTAGAAACACCAACTCTGTTTTATTATGATGTATTTTGAAGTACAACTCAACAGGTACAAGCGAACAAGGGCATTTATATTAGCTCAGGACCGTCAATCAATTTGGAGGGGAGTGTAGTTACAAGTACGTTTCCCCAACTGTAGGACATACATTGTTGATGTTACTAGTATACTGAGAGGTACTACTATACTGAGAAAGCCTATAGAGGTCGGAATTTCTGTGTTGGAAACAATTAGCATTTTAAGACGACATGTGTCTGGAAAAATGTCTACATTATGATTTACTCAATCTTCTTTCCGTCACACAGACTTTAGAATTCCAGGCTCTGCATTGGTCGAAAATTGGAATCCCAAAACCTCTACTGAAACCTCTGATTCTTCGACGGGTGAAGATCCCAGAGAACATGACTGCAAAAACTCCACATCTAGTGCTGGTAACATCTCCAAATACGTCGACTTGTAAAACTCCTTACCAAGCGCTTGTAACATTTCCAAACACCACGAGCAAAACTCCATATCGAGTGATAGTAACATCTAGAAACAACAACACAAGCAAAACTCTTCACCAGTCGCCAGTACCATCTCCAAACAACACAACCAAAACTGTTCACCAAGTGCTAGTAACATTTCCAAACAACGCAAGTAAAACTCTCCAAACATTAGCAATATCTTCAAAGAACGCCTGGACGACACCGTCGCCAAAGAAGCAAGCAAGACCCAAAAACCTAAAGTCAACTAAAACTCCTCACCATGAAAATGTCTCATCTCCAAACAATACTACGACTAAAACTCCTCGCCATGAAAATGTCTCATCTCCAAACAATACTACGACTAAAACTCCTCACCATGAAAATGTCTCATATCCAAACAACACCACGACTAAAACTCCTCACCATGAAAATGTCTCATCTCCGAACAACACTAAGACTAAAACTCCTCACCATGAAAATGTCTCATCTCCAACCAACACTAACACTAAAACTCCTCACCATGAAAATATCTCATCTCCAAACAATACTACGACTAAAACTCCTCACCATGAAAATGTCTCATCTCCAAACAACACTACGACCAAAACTCCTCACCATGAAAATGTCTCATCTTCAAACAACACGAAGACTAAAACTCCTCACCATGAAAATGTCTCATCTCCAAACAACACTACGACTACAACTCCTCACCATGAAAATGTCTTATCTCCAAACAACACTAAGACTAAAACTCCTCACCATGAAAATGCCAAAGCCCCAAAAGTTACAAAAATTGAAGCTTGCTACCTTGAGCAGGTTACGTGCCCAAAGAACACAAACATAGTCGTCCTAAACAGAAACCGCCAGTATCACCAAGGAGACGTTCTAACCGCTAGGGTGGTGGTAAAAGACAAAGAGGGAAGGCCAAAGACGTACGGGGGAGACTTTTTCCGAGCCAGACTGGTCAGTAGTGCCCGTTGGCCGCACGCCAGTAGCGCCGGTAACGTCACTGACCATATTAACGGCACCTACACCGTGCAGTTCCCGTTGTACTGGGCAGGGGGCGTTACGGTAAGTACAGAAGGAATTTGTTAGGAACGAAGTGAGACTGTAAGGTTGTGAGTCTCCAATAAAGTAAAGTAAAGTAGAGTAGAGTAGAGTAGAGTAGAGCAGAGCAGAGTAGAGTAGAGTAGAGTAGAGTAGAGTAGAGTAGAGTAGAGTAGAGTAGAGTAGAGTAGAGTAGAGTAGAGTAGAGTAAAGTAAAGTAAAGTAAAGTAAAGTAAAGTAAAGTAAAGTAAAATAAAGTAAAGGTACTAACAAGAACAGTTGACAAGGATGTACGCAGATTTTTTGAACACAACTATGGCATCTTACAACGGCAGGGAAGTGGCTTTTTGTACATAACTTCTACTCTAAACGTACACATCCTTTGCCTGATTTTTGTTCTATATCAGATAAAGATCCAGCTGGTCCATCCCAGCGAGGCAGTGAAGGTCCTAGAGAGAGTGCGAGAAGTTCCAAACAAGAGAGTCTTCCACTGTAGTTTCGTCGACGCGAAGACGAAGGCCACCAACACAACACAGTGTTTCAGTTCTGCCAACTCTAGTCTACTGCCCCACCAACAGTGCGACTTCTCAAAGCCAGAAGTGAACGGGACCTGGATTTGTGAGAAACCGGACAAACTTCCGTGTTCCGCCATATCAAAGTGCAGATGGGACTCGGGAAAGAGCAGGGCAAAGATGCTGGAACTATTGTCTGAAGAGGAGAAGAAACTTTTCCAAAAGTAAGTCATCAACTGTACGTTACAAACGTAACTCTAACTCCGAAATGTCGAAGTGAAATGAAATACCAGCACACCAGTAGTCCTGTCTATTCTATTGCTGAGAGTTTCTCATTCTTGTCCTGTCCTCTTAAATAATATATACGTGGCATAATGCTCACAACAGGTGTAGAGGATAAGTAAATACATATGATGCTCTGAATAAAATATGCACAGGTTAGTAAATGTCTTTGGAAACTTGATACCTTGAATGTATATCTACTGTACGCATAAAATGTTGTATACAATACAACTAGGGCTGTAGAAATTGCATGACTAGTTTCCACACCCCACAGGCCCTATCTTGAGGAGGAACTTGAAGTTGACCCCAAGGAGCCCATACATGTTCTTGAAGCAGAAGTTCCCACACCTCAACACCTTCCAGCGTGTACCTGGGACAAGTCTGCAGCTTTGGGACATTGGTCAGGCAAGGTCTGGACGTCGTCCGTCTGCAATGTCCGAGTGTTCACTCAGAATGACATCCGGCGGTGCCTGGCTAACAAGACCGTGTACATGCAAGGTACGTATCGTTAGTGGTCTGATCATCGATGCTTGCGCTTCTGGATATGTTAGATACAGTCCATTGGGTATAATGTTAAATTTGATTATTTCTATTCCCTCTAGGTGACTCCACCATCAGACAATGGGGCCAGCGTTTGCTGACGGTAGTACCGTTGAACCACAACAAGACCAAGGGTTATTTAGGTTTGTCAATGTTTCCTTAATAGCTTTTTTGAGCCTATTTCGTTCTAAGAAACGCCTGCCAAACATCGTCAAAGGTCGCACAGTCACAATGAATTGTACATTTTTGTTTCTTTAGCTCGTTTGGAAGGAGACAACAGCCAATGGAACATTTCTGTTCGCTACCGGTTTCACCACTTCCCCGTACAGGGAGGCGCTTGGTGTGTCTTCTATGACTTCCGCTACGTTGTTAAAACGCTGGACTCGATTCTCGGAGGCCCAAACACGATAATAGTCCTGAGTCTGTGGGCCCACTTTACGTCAGAGCCGCCAGAACTGCTCCGGTCCAGACTGTACGCCATACGGGCCGCCATACACCGTCTGAAGCGCAGGGCTCTCGGCACACGGGTTTTCGTCAGAACTGGAACAACGCGTGAGCACAAGGGAGGAAAGTTGGAGTTCTACCTGCTAGGAAGCGACTGGCTGGCTTACCAGATCACGGAGGTGATACGAGAGATGTTCCGGGCGGATCCAGACGTGGTTGTGTTGGACACGTGGGACATGAGCGTGTGTCAGCCGGGAAAAGACAACGTGCACCCAGACCAAACCATGGTGGACAGTCAACTTAACAGGCTGCTTTCTCATATATGCCCATAGGAGGAGTTTTGAAGCTTTAGATAAAGCACAAGTATGTTGTAATTGTCTTCGCCAGAAGGTTATGTTTTGGTTTGGCGATGGTGGAGTGAGTGTTGAAGTGGGCGGCATAATTCTTTAAGCATGTATGGATAGTGTATTATTCTAAACAAGAATTCCGAGATCTCATACCTCCATGAAATATGATCTTGATATGTAAATGTAAATTTCTTCTTTAATTGTGCAAATGACCTCTGCATTAAGATGATATATGCATCGTGATGTATGTTAACTTTTGATTAACTTACAGATGTCCCAAGTATGACATTCTCATCATTCACCATTACGAAATCGTAGAATTTTCGCATTAATTATGCAAATTAGGTCATAATTTGCATAATTAGTATCTGTTGAAGTTCCGCCTGCCATAGGTTACATACATTACATGTATGTAAGTAGTATAATGTAAAACACTGTAATTATAGAATTTCCTCATTAATTATGCAAATAAAGTCCTCATTTGCATGATTTGCATTTAATTATGTACATCTCTCTCAGATACCTACACACCAAAAATAATGAAAATATGTTGTTCCTGTCTGGACTTATTGGCTTTTAAACATTTCGCCAGAAAGTGCCCTGCAGTTCCAGAACAAGCCGCTAGGGGGCCCAAACTCATATGACTTCTTCCCAAGCACGAGAGCTACCTTCCATCAAAATTTCATGACCCTAGCATGTCCAGATCGCGAGATATCAAAACCGGAAGTTGCGCTGCAGTACCAAGGGAAGCCACTAGGGGGACCAAAATCTATAATCATTTCTAGTTTTCGTCACACCCTACCAACACACCAAGTATGAAACCAATCCATCCAGGCGTTCTTGAGTTATCTTGTTGACCAACAGACAGACGGACAGACGGACAGATAAACGCAACTGAAACAAGAGTTCCGAGATCTCATACCTCCATGAAATATGGGCTTGCTTTGTCATACATTTCAACATGTCCTCATTAATTATGCAAATGACCTCCACATTAACATAATAAGTGCATAGTGGTGTTAACCTTTAAGTAACTTACACATGTCAAGGTATGAAAGTCCCATCATTCACCAATAAGGAGTCACAGAATTTTCACATTAATTATACAAATTAGGTCATCATTTGCATAATTGGTATCTGTTGATGTTCCGCCTGCCACAGATTAAATAGATTACATGTATAAAAGTACTATTACATTAAACACTGTAATTATAGCATTTTTTAATTATTAACTTATTGATCTAAGTACAACTCTGTCTCACCTACCTACACACCAAAAATGATGAAAATACGTTGTTCCTATCTGGACTTATTGGCTTTTAAAGATTTTGCCAGAAAGTGCCCTGCAGTTCCAGAACAAGCTGCTAGGGGGACCAAATTCAAACCACTTATTTCTGACAGGAAAAGCTCTCTGTCACCAAAAAGTCAAGACCATAGCATGTTCAGGACAAAAGATACAAAAACTGGAAGTTCCGCTGCAGTACCAAGGTCATCCACCAGGAGGCCCATATTTGACCTTGACCTTTGTCTTCCTAAGACTTATCAGCATACCAAATATCATAACAATCCACAAAGGCGTTATGAAGTTATGCTGACTACAAAGTTGCGGAAACACACACAGACACACACACAGACACACACACACACACACACAGACAGACCCGCCAAAAACAATACCTCCATTTTTCATGGAGGTAAAAAGACTTTTTCGAGCGTGAACTATATTGCTGGACAGATCTAGAGTGATGTCGGCTACTAAAAACCAGTTCTTCTGGTGTACGCACGCAATCACTCTCTTCCCCAAGCTTCTCAGAAACCAGAAGACCACTTGAGATCAAACAGGTGGGACCATTTGACGCTTTACTGTGGTGGACCAAACAGTAATAGACTTGCGCCCAAAGACATCTATAGTGACGTGGTATAAGGAAGATCAAGGATTGACGGAAACCTTTCCAGACATCATTGCTGGTAAATATCTTGAGGGTTCTTGTGACAGATAGGTGAGTACAAAATGACTTCTGTCTTCTTATTCTTACATGCAGCTTACACTGTCCAACAGCGAACTGTTGTCACACCCTACCAACACACCAAGTATGAAACCAATCCATCCAGGCGTTCTTGAGTTATCTTGTTGACCAACAGACGGACAGATAAACGCAACTGAAAATATAACCTCCATGACACATTTCATGGAGGTAAATATAACCTCCATGACACATTTCATGGAGGTAACTATCTTATAAGTAAACAATGAATGTAAGGATGACTACTAGTATATACATTAACGAAGATCTCGATAAGCAAATAGAAATGTGCATGTATAACTGACACTGTTAACTGTTCCGAATTGTTTATGTTCTTGTTGTGAGGGTTCCGAATTGTTTATGTTCTTGTTGTGAGGGCTAGCCCTTTATAATAGCCTCCGGCTAGTTGGGCAGTCCTGGCTGCATACATATGTGTTATCAGCCTAATAAATCAAATCAAATCAAATCAAATCAAATGTGCATGTACATGTGCTTTAAAGTTCACTGTGTCGGCAAGGGTGATGATGTAATTCACCGTTTCCTACGTATACGTTTAAAAAACAGTGACCCAACGTGTTCTGGAAGTTCAAGTGGTGGAACCAACTTGGTACATGTTGATAAATTTCTACCTAGCTTGAACTAGACGAGAGCGCCACCTATCCTGTTGTACGCGGTATTACAGTTCAGCTCAGTGCATTTGTTTACCTGTACGTAACCCGATAGGGCATGAATATAGGGTTAATGCGAACAATGTGGTTTATGAGGTGGTTATCGCACCTGACTAGGGAATATATCACCATATACACCGAGGATAGGGCGAGGCATTAACGTTATTATCATATGTATCCGTTTCCAAATGCACGAATATTAAAAGTTATGTGCGCCACTGAAGATCGCAGTCACAGTCGATCTGCTTCGCTAGTGTCTTAAAAGCTGTATCCTCCCGTGTCTCATACGGTGGCGATACTAAACAGACCGGTTAGACCACGTCTTAAGAATTTGCTTCTAACGTGACGCTCCAGTGCTTAACGTTCACAATGAAATGGCTTAACATCTGGTCCTGCACGTAAACTGGTAACCTTGCGTTACATGTGCTTTTATACATTTGTACCTGAGGCGCTTAAAGAGACAGACGGACCAGCACTGCACAAGTGAAGATATCTAACGCTGTGGTCTATTTTGTCTCACAGGTGGGAATATGTTTACTGTACTAACTCTAGATCTTAGAGGAATGAATGAATGATGGAAGGAAGGAAGGAAGGAAGGAAGGAAGGAATGGATATTCTGTCGCCGTGAACGGTGGTTGAAAAGCTACATGGGAAGCTATTGTGTGTGGTTATCATTTCGTCATGGAAAAATTGCTCTGAGGTCGGTTAATTCAGTTTAAAATGTCGAGAACAGTTTTCTACGCTAGTGACAGAGACTCTTAGACGCACGAAAGTTACTAAAATATGAGGAGGAAAATATGAAGAGGGGGAGTGATTACGAATTATGCAAAATTTAACGAATTACGTTAAATTCTAGGAACATTACGCACAATTACACGTTAAGGCTAATGTACTGATTACGATGATTTTGGGCGACTGTCTACGGATTACGAAGACTAAAAAGGCCTGATTACGCCTTACGAAAAAATGCATGCAGGCACACAACTATTGTTGCCGAAGTTATTTGTACAGGTAAATACATGTAGGTGGCAAGGTGGGGGGTTGGGGATTAACGTGACTTGAATCAATAACAATTGATCCGTGAATTTGTATTGTTATGTTAGATCCAGCAAACTACGACGTAGTGCACGACCGAATGTCGTAGTTCAGTGTCTCTGCCAGACTCCAGAAAAAAAGTAGAAATTGGAGAAATAGACTGAATAATATGCAAGATGGGTAATTACCTGGCCTTGGAGTACGCAGTACAAATAGCCAACCCCAGAGAAACCTGTAGGTGTGGATGGTCGTAGGCAGCCTCGTTAACGTATGTTGGATTCTTTAAATCCTTACGTACGCCTTCCGGTGCTCCGATTGTTTCCTGTCTGTGCCTTTGTTTACAGTGATGACATCTACCGGAATACGGTGGAGTGCTACACTAGTAGTGATATCTGCTGCCCTGATGGTGTACACAACGGTAGGTTTCTTTTTCATTATAGCTAAGGCTACATTATCATGACGATATCTCAGTGGAGTTATGTACAAGGCTTTTATGTAGGAGACTTCCAATTGAGTCAGAATACAAATTGCATAAACTCTACATGACCGAAACAGAGTATCGTTGTCTATCAAATATCGGGGACGGGGGACGCTACAGACTTTCATACACTTTTGACCTATCACTGCGGTCACATGGCTGTATGGTCATATATGCAACCTAACCATGTTGGTCTTGAAGTTTTCCTATCAAGGGTTCATGATCAGGGATCAGGATGCTCCGAAGCCGATTTTCAATCTTCACTTCGGCCCACCCGTCAATTCTTGCGTCTTCAACGGGCCTGTCCATTTCGACCAGGCCACGTACCCACAATACACGCAGGTTGTCGTCCTAAACAGAGACCGCCTGTATCACCAAGGAGACGTTCTTACCGTGATGGTGGTGGCAAGAGACAAAAATCGAAGGAAAAAGACGTACGGGGGAGATTTTTTCCGTGCCAGACTGGTCAGTAGTGACCGTTCGCCGAAGGCCAGTAGCGCCGGTGACGTCACTGACCACTGTAACGGTATCTACACCGTGCAGTTTCCGCTGTACTGGGCCGGCAACGTTTCGGTAAGTACCGTGATAGACTTTGTTGGGGACAGATAAATGCATGACAGATATGTAGATACATGTATGATAAAAATAGAAATGCAGTAAAATGCTCTCTCTGCATCCCCAAAACTCCTTTACTTTGTCTGTTTTGTGTCGCTGTTATCAGATAAAGATTCAGCTGGTCCATCCCAGCGAGGCAGTGAAGGTCCTAGAGAGAGTGCGGGAACTTCCAAACAAGAGAGTCTTCCACTGTAGCTTCGTCGACGCGAAGACAACAAAGAAGAAGAAGACGAAGAAGAAGGCCTCTTATACAAGTCAATGTTTCAGTTCTGCCAACCCCAGATTGTCGCCCCACCAACAGTGCGACTTCTCAAAGCCGGACGTGAACGGGACCTGGATTTGTGAGAAACCGGACAAACTTCCGTGTTCCGCCATATCAAAGTGCAAATACAACTTGGATAAGAGCAGGGCAAAGATGCTGAAACTGGTGTCTGAAGGGGAAAAGAAACTTTTCCAAAAGTAAGTCCTCAACTGTACGTTACAAACGTAACTCTAACTCCGAAATGTCTAAGTGAAATGAAATACCAGTACACCAGTACTTCTGTCTATTCTATTGCTGAGAGTTTCTCATTCTTGTCCTGTCCTCTTAAAATAATTTATACGTGGCATGATGCTCGCAACGGGTGTACAGGATAAGAAAATACGTATGATGCTCTGAATAAAATATGCACAGGTTAGTAAATGTCTTTGGAAACTTGATACCTTGAATGTATATCTACTGTATGCATAAAACGTTGTATACGAGTACAATACAACTAGGGCTGAAGAAATTGCATGACTAGTTTCCACACCCCACAGGCCATATCTTGAGGAGGAACTTGAAGTAGACCCTAAGGAGCCCATACATGTTCTTAAAGCAGAACTTCCCACACCTCAACACCTTCCAGCGTGTACCTGGGACAAGTCTGCAGCTTTGGGACATTGGTCAGGCAAGGTCTGGACGTCATCCGTCTGCAATGTCCGAGTGTTCACTCAGAATGACATCCGGCGGTGCCTGGCTAACAAGACCGTGTACATGCAAGGTACGTATTGTTAGTATTGATGATTGCGCTTCTGGATATGTTAGATACAGTCCATTAGGTTAAATTTGATTATTTCTATTCTCTCTAGGTGACTCCACCATCAGACAATGGGGCCAGCGTTTGCTGACGGTAGTACCGTTGAACCACAACAAGACCAAGGGTTATATAGGTTTGTCAATGTTTCCTAAATAGCTTTTTTGAGCCTATTTCGTTCTAAGAAACGTCAAAGGTGAAGCATTTTAAGTCGTCATGCCGACAGTCACAATGAATTGTACATTTTTGTTTCTGCAGCTCGTTTGGAAGGAGACAACAGCCAATGGAACATTTCTCTTCGCTACCGGTATCACCACTTCCCCGTACAGGGACGCGCTTGGTGTGTCTTCTGTGACTTCCGCTACGTTGTTGAAACGCTGGACTCGATTCCAGGAGGCCCAAACACGATAATAGTCCTGAGTCTGTGGGCTCACTTTACGGCAGAGCCGCTAGAACTGCTCCGGTCCAGACTGTACGCCATACGGGCCGCCATACACCGTCTGAAGCGCAGGGCTCCCGGCACGCGGGTTTTCGTCAGGACTGGGACAACGCGTGAGCACAAGGGAGGAAAGTTGGAGTTCTACCTGCTAGGAAGCGACTGGCTGGCTTACCAGATCACGGAGGTGATACGAGAGATGTTCCGGGCGGATCCAGACGTGGTTGTGTTGGACACGTGGGACATGAGCGTGTGTCAGCCGGGAAAAGACAACGTGCACCCAGACCAAACCATGGTGGACAGTCAACTTAACAGGCTGCTTTCTCATATCTGTCCATAGGAGGAGTTTTGAAGCTTTAGATAAAGCACAAGTTTGTTGTAATTATCTTCGCCAGAAGGTTATGTTTTGGGTTTGGCGATGGTGGAGTGAGTGTTGAAGTGGGCGTCATAATTCTTTAAGCATGTATGGATAGTGTATTATTCTAAACTATCTTGTAAGTAAACAATGAATGTAAGGATGGCAACTAGTACATGTATATACATTAACGAATATCTCGATAAGGCAATAGAAATGTGCATGTTCACGTGCTTTAAAGACCACTGTGTCGGCAAGGGTGATGATGTAATTCATCACCCTACGTATACGTTTAAAAAACAGTGAACCAACGTGTCCTAGAAGTTCAAGTGGTGGAACCAACTTGGTACATGTTGATAAATGTTGGCAATTTCCACCTAGCTTGAACTAGACGAGAGCGCCACCTATCCTGTTGTACGCGGTATTACAGTTCAGCTCAGTGTATTTGTTTACCTGTACTTAACCCGATAGGGCATGAATAAAGGATTAATGCAAACAATGTGGTTTATGAGGTGGTTATCGCACCTGACTAGGGATTATATAAACATATACACCGAGGATAGGGCGTTATTATCATATATATCTGTTTCCAAATGCACGAATATTAAAAGTTATGTGCGCCACTGAAGATCGCAGTCACAGTCGATCTGCTTCGCTAGTGTTTTAAAAGCTGTATCCTCCCGTGTCTCGTACGGTGGCGATACTAAACAGACCGGTTAGACCACGTTTGAAGAATTTGCTTCTATCGTGGCGCTCCAGTGCTTAACGTTCACAATGAAATGGCTTAACATCTGGTCCTGCACGTAAACTGGTAACCTTGCGTTGCATGTGCTTTTATTAGTACCTGAGGCGCTTAAAGAGACAGACGGACCAGCACTGCACAAGTGAAGATATCTAACGCTGTGGTCTATTTTGTCTCGCAGGTGGGAATATGTTTACTGTACTAACTCTAGATCTTAGAGGAATGAATGAATGATGGAAGGAAGGAAGGAAGGAAGGAAGGAATGGATATTCTGTCGCCGTGAACGGTGGTTGAAAAGCTACATGGGAAGCTATTGTGTGTGGTTTCGTCATGGAAAAATTTCTCTGAGGGCGGTTAGTTCTGTTTCAAAAGTCGAGAACAGTTTTCTACGCTAGTGACAGAGACTCTTAGAGGCA